TCCTCCATAGGTCTTCCCCAAGCCACAAACCCGAGGAGGCCACTGGCCCCACAGAGCCTAACAGAGACCTAACTGCAGAAGAGGCCTGCAAGGGCTCAGCCCCAGACTCTGAAAGGTAACTCCCTGCAGGATTCCCCAGCTAATCAGCTCACTCCTTCCACTCACCTGAGGCTGCACAGAGCAGCCCTCCAAGGGCCCACACTGAGCAAGGCCGGCAATTTGGGGATGTCAGTGATCAAAGGGTACATGGGTCCCCAGGGAACATGTGGCAGGGACTTTCTGGATATGTTGGCAGAGGGGTGCATGGGGGGTCAGAGGTGGGAGGCTGAGGCTGTGGTGGGGTGATGAGTCCAGAGGGGATGGTTGTACCCACTTATCCCACTGCCCTGTCCTCCAGGCCAGAATGGAGAAGAACCCACAGACCCATCTTCTCAGTGTAGAGCCTGGGGTCCCCAGTTGGGGCTCTAAGCCCTGGGGTTGGGGACAGGACACTTTGAATGGCTCTTTGCTCTGTTGGCCATCGGTACCTGCCATGCCCATCTCCTCCTGAGTCTCCACCCTACTCTGTCTCTTGGCCCCGTCCTTGCTCCCAGCCCGATAGGTTGGAAGAAACACAGAAATAGTCACTCTGGTCGACTTGGCTGGGCTCGGCCCTGGCAGAGCAGCACAGGGCAGACTGAGCGTCTGGTCCTTGAGGCCTGCTCACAGGACAGCAGTTGGCCAAGAGCAAACCCCAATCAGAGTCGGCAAGTGCTTCTCTCCCTGTACCAGGCCAAGCACATGCTCAAGTGATGGCAGCAGGGGATCCGGAGCCATGGGGTCCTTGTCCGAAGGCTCGGTCAGAGTGGACACCAGCTCTGAGAGAGGAGGGTAAGCTGCTGGGGAGAAGCTTGTTCTCTATGTCCCTGGTGACTTGCCAGGCTCAAGCTGCCAGACTGCTTGGGTTGCTGGGTTGGGACACTGGTTGCTCCCTGGGGCTCTTGTCTACCAGTTTTCTTGCACTCCCACCCCCACCTCACGCTTTGTCCTTGGGCCTTCCTTCTCCTTGGGATCGCCCATGCTTGGATCCTATTCCTTCCCCCAGCTCCTGCAGGCAGGCCCCAGGTCCCACTCACAGTTGGGGGCCCTACTCCTACCCAGAGCTGCCATTGGGCAGTGAGGATGAACGTGCGGGGACAAAGGAATGAATGACCAAATGAATGACCAAATGACAGATGAATTGGGGCCTTCACTTCTTGGCTGAGCTACAGGGAACGGCTAGGAGACCCTTCATTTCTGCTCTTTTCCTTCCCTTCCAGAAGCCCCAACGACTCCTCTTCCTGCCCACCCCCTTGCCTGGCCCCTCTGCTCTTAGGGCCAGTAACAGAAGCAGCAGCGGCCTCAGTGAGGCCAGCTAGGAGACAGGAGCTGGGCACTGGTCATGGGCCATACTATCAGGTGATTTGGGGAGTGCCAAGGTCTCATCTGTCCTCAGCCTGGTTCCAGACCAACATGAAGCATCTGTGGGGACAGAGACTAGCATGCGGGTGTTGGCACAAGTGCTTTGGCTCCAGTTTGTGCTGCAGCTCAGAGCAGATGGCTCAGGAGGAGTGGCGAAGCTGGTGTCCACCCCCACCGCCCCCAACAGCTATGCTCTACTGCAGCCTGGCCAAGGGGAGTCCCAGGGTTTGGGAGGCCCTGCTGGTTGCCTTCCCAACTGTCCCTCCTGGCCGGCCCTACTCCCCGAAGCCCACCTGGGGGCCCTTTTCCAAACCAACTGTAATAGTTTTCAATTGATTACCAAAGCCCAACTTCTAAGTCCAGGACCATAAGCCAACAGGAGATGGGGCTTCCCCCACCCCAGAAGCCATTGTCTCTGAGCAGATCCAAGGAAAGGGAACTGGGCCTGAGACTCAGTTCTTGGAGCTGCCTCCAAGGGCCCATAGCGAGTTCTCCATTTTTTAAATTTTATTTTTAGTTTTCTCCTCTTGGGATTTTGGCACACATGCCTGGCATGTTTTTAAAGACACCAGTCTGGGACTCCAACCACAGTCAGCCATGTGGGATCCAGCCACCCTAACCAACACACCAGTGGCAGGCCCTCACAGACGGCCCCATTGTGCTGTCTGTAGAGGCATCAGAAAGATCTTAAAAGGAAATTCATCTTATTGCTCCCTTGCTTCAACCATCCAGTGCTTCCCACTTTCCTTAACGGAAAGTCCAAATCCCTTTCAATGGTCCATGGGTTCCCACTCAGTGGGGTCTTTGGTCTCCTCTCCAGCCTCACTTCCTGGCCTCTCCCCATGCGGTGCAGAGCAGTCCTTTTGCTGCTGGCTCCCTTAGAAGACTTCTGGTCCAATGTAGTTTGATCCAGTTCTTAGGTGCTTCGTCTTTGACTATTCATCCACACCATCCTTCCTGCTTATGAACCCCCGTGAGATGAAGCCTACTCTGCACCCTGCTTCCTCAGTGTAAAGCCAAACCTCAAAGTAGCTTGCAATTCATCTGGAGCATCCATGTTTTCATGATTTTCAAGCCCATCTCTCATGTCCTGTTACCCATATTTAGTTTGACAATGTGTTTTTAAGAATCTCCTTTGTTGTCTTTCCAACGTTAGAGTGGTTTCTCGTAGAAACGCCCACCCTCTCATGGTCACCATTAGTTGACTTACTGGATTTTGTGATTTGTGGTTGTGAGCACAACCGGCTTAGCCAGGACAGGCATGAGGGAGGCTTGATGAGTGTGCTACTCGGGCGCAGGACCCAGACTTGGGTGTGCAGTAGGGTGCCCTGTGAGCCATGATTAGTCCACATTCCGTGAGCATCCGTGCGATGGAGAATGCAGCTTGGCCCTGGGCAGGCTGGTGAAGAGAGCCCTATGAAATCCGTGCCAGGTAGGTGGGTACAGATGGACTGGGAGACGGCACTGCTTCCACAAATGGCCGCAGGACCCAGTGAAATCAGGAACAGGGTAGCATGTCGTATGGCCAGAGCATCATTGGAAGCACTTGGCGTCTGTGAACTCGTTTACTGTTCTCAGAATCTGAGGCAGACAAGGTTATCACCTGTGACAGAGGCCTGTAGAAGTCAGGGGATGTGAGTGTGCACTTCAGCACAGTCGAAGCGAGTGCACTGCTCCGTGTTCCTCATCATCTGTCGGGGACGGAGCCACCCTATCAGGAGGTCCGAGGGTCTTCCTATTGGTGGGGGCTCCCTTCATAAAGTCCTGGATGGCACAGCACATCGTGCAGTGAGAGGGCAAGAGCTTGCTTGTGCCTGTACCTGCGTCTCCATCTTACAGAGCCACTAAGACTCAGTCAGGCCCCCGCCCCATCCCTGACCTTAGTGAACTTATCTTATCCTATCTCCTACCAGAGGCTGCACTTCATAGTCCCATGGCTGAATTAAGTTTCTACCCTCCTAACACAGTCACAGTGGCTCATCAAATTTTAACATGAAATTGGGGTCACCTAGCCAGCAGTAGAGGGCTCAGTTATAGGGAACACGTGGTGGGTGGCTGCAAATGCAGGTGGTGCCAGAGGCACCAGGGTGCACTAGGAAGAGCTTGCGCATGTAGGCATCTGCCCTATTTCTCCTACCAGTGGGAGTGGCCATCTTACAAGTTCACAGACCCCCCCCCCCAGACAACACTTGGTTCACAGCCCCCCCCCCCCAGGAAATACTTGGTCTTCAGCACAGATGCCACATGCAAAGCTGATGTGACATTATCATATGCAGTGGCACCTGTGCCACATTAATACTGGGGCTGAGAAGCTGGCCTTTCATTGAAGACATAGTTTCCCCCTTTCCTGTGAGGAGGCAGCTAGGAAGGCGGAAGACCCGGGCTTCCAGTCTTCTTAGATCTGAGGCCTCAGCAAGCTTGTGTGCTTCCCCCCTCAGCTCTAGTACCACTTCAGCCTCTGCCGTCCCAGCCAGCAGGAAGAGTGACAGTGCAGCAGACCTGGAGGATGCGAAGGCAGAGCCGAAGGGGTAAGGCGTCAGCACACAGCGCTGCATTCGCAGCTTGGGTGTGCCTCAGCCTGCAGCTGAGATGGCTGGGCACGGGGTCTGGGAGCATTCCTTTAAACTGCATCACTTCTAGCCAGGACGTACTCCATAATCAGGACCGATCACCCTCCTGCAGTCAGTAACCATGCTGACAGCACCCACCCTTCAGGGGCTGCAACTCAGGTGTGGCTTGCCTTCAAGGGGCTCTTGGGCTGCGGGGGCGGGGGGCTAGTCTGGCCCAGATTGGAACAACACATCAGTTCTAATGCAGGGAAAGGGGGCACCTGGGAGTCCTTCCTGGAGAGGTGGCTTTTCAGTTGGCTCTCAAAAGGTGAACAGAAGGGAACCAGCAGTTAGCGTAATGGCTATGTCGCTGGACTCCCACGTAGTTGACTGCGGTTCGTGTCCCGGACCCGGTGGCTTAAAACTCATGCCGGGTGCGGGTGCGTGT